AGAAACTGTCAGCATAGAACTTGCGGTTAGGTCTAGCTATTTGTGAGACATTGCCGTCAATCTTGTACTGCGCTTAAATTCATAAAGTCTAAGTACCGAAGAGGAAAGTAATATTTATTTTGAAAAATACAAAAGGCCAAAATGGTGGAGTAGCGTATGGATGGGGTTATATATGTCTGTCTTATATTAAACTTAGCTAGCCACGATTACTGACCCATATCACAGTATTCTTTACACCAAAAGAACACATTATTACTTACCATTCTTACTACAGTCACCATAATACCCCAAAGTCTCTATTGTGATTTTCTAAGCTTAGCTTAGATGTGGCACGAGGCCAAAAGCATGGTGCACCCAATGAACACACTACTAAGTCGTAAATCCAGAGACGGATATGCAATATAACTGACCCTGATCTGGCATCTCGTCTGCAGGCGCTCTCTAACAGACGTGCCGTCTCCTCCCTCTGTCTTTTTTTTTTTTTTTTACAAATACTTTCACGGTAACTGCTCCGATGAGCTGCTTTCGCTGGTTCCCAGACTTCATGAATTTTAGCGTTCAACTAGGCTGGCATCTCGCTCTTACCCTTTCATTGTCAAAACTGTTAAATGTAGCCGTCTCTTCTACTCCACTAGCTTCATGTCTCGCACTTCTCGCCTGTGGAACTCCCTCTGCTTTTCTTGTTTCCCTGATAGCTATAATCTCCAACTATTCAAATGTAATGTCAATCGACGTCTCTAGATGCCTTGATCTATCCCCTATCCTTCTCTTCATCCTTTCCTCTATCACTCATCTTTGTTCTCGCTCCAACTCTCTGTAACCCCTTGCGTGCTAGTGGCTTCCGGCCTTGCTTGGAGTAAAACGTTTAAAAAAATGATTTAGCGAGACAAGCTTGCTAATCGTTACGCCAATTCGAAGTTCCCCCTCAAAATCTTTATGGAGTCCTAACTAGTTGTCATATGTACAATTTATCTAGTGGGTGGAAATAAAATAACGACATTTAAAAATGAAGCCCTAATGAATATTTAAAATGAATACAATTTATATACAAGAAACTAAACAAAATAGTCTTAATGATAAAAAAAAACAATCATTATGTCAGAAAAATCAGTTAATTGGACGAAATTAATGCGGGACTTAGGTAATTAATAATAATCATTTAAACACTCACTCACTCAAACGCACACTCATCCAAACAAAAATTAAATAGGAAATAAACACTCACAAAACAAAAAAGGTCCCGCAACTATCAGAGAACTACCATCTTTGTCACCTAACGGAGGAGGGGACGGGGAATTAAACTAAAGAAAGTGAGAACAGAAATAAAAGAGGCAAATGAACTTAACTAACTTAAGTTAACTTGATGGAAGAAACTAAAGATAAAACAAACCTAAACTACCCTATTTTGAGCGGGGTTACCAAAGTTCAAACCAGAGTTCACAATATCTTGATGCCCAAGAGGAAAGCTCATCAGAACAATTACCACGAAAATATTTATAGAAAAGCCACACGGAAGCGACGTTACGATTCATTTACAAATATATCATCTTGTTGAGTCAGCTATTTCAGTGAATATGAGCTTACGGTGAAATCCTGCAAAACAGTTCCTATGCACTCACCGAAATTAGACAACAATCGACCTGCTCGCTACTTAAATCGCTAACAAATTAGAAGCAGCAGGTATGGTAAGCAATCGGCGATTTTTAAGCTAGGTTAATCAAAGCTCACTAAAAAGAGAAACTATTGTAGAAAGAGGGAAAATGCGCAAGAGGAAAAAATTTTTCCATTATTCTAAAACCAAGCGAAAAATAATTTCTGACAACCTTTTAACCTCTGATGTTTATTGAAAATATTTTCGACTTGAATTACTTCAATTCTTGGCTCTAACAAAAGAAATATTTTGGTAGACGTCAAAACTGGAGAGTTCAAAACGTGAGAAATCGTCTAGTTGTATTATTTGGAATAGATCAGATTTTTTAAAGAATTCTCAAGATGCGCAAGTGCTGACAATTCTAACTGATTTGAAAAGATCATGATATGTTTTCTGGACATAGATGTCAGTCAATTCTAACTAAAATATTTCTTAATAAAGACTAGAAAAAATCTTATATCAGATAAATAGTCATTGTCACTCACTAGTTGTTTCATTTCCTCTCTTTCTCTCATTCTATCACTACACACACACACACACATATATATATATATTTGACCGAAGAACGCTAAGAATACATAAGACAGTGCGTATAATCAACGAAGTTTTTAGGAAACTACTAGAACTCCTACAGAAGATAGTAGGGGAAAGCAAGAAGAAAGGACTAAGCATCAATTACAAGAAGACAGAATGCACTATCCTTAGCAAATGGAACGGTCAAATATGCAAATTACAAACTGGATATACCAAAATTAAGCAAGTACAACAGTTTAAATATCCTGGAAGGGTTTTAACAGAGAACAGAAAATGCAACACTGAAATCCGAAAATATATTGGCATAGCGAAAAATGCCTTCCTAGATGCTAAGCAAAATATTAAGAAACAGGAAAATTTCGTTCGAAAGAAAATAAAAAGAGTACTGAACTTTTATGTAATGTTTGTCCTTCTCTGTAACAGTGAATACTGGACAATGCCCGCAGAGATGAAGAAGAGACTTGAGGCAACACAAATGAGGTTGTACAGGAGAATGCTGAGAATACCATAGACCGAACATGTGAGCAACGACGAAGTTTTAGAGAAAATGGAAACAAAAAGGTCACTTATACTTACAATCAGAAAGAGACAGTTGAAATTTTCCAGGACACATAATGAAGAAAGACGACTTCAATAATTCCTGACGCAGACACATTGACGGCTAGGATAACAGAAAAAAACAGCGAGAAGCGACAAACACTATTAAAAGGGAAAAATGATTGGAAATTGTGAGGAGCCATGATTACCCAAGTCCCGAAGAGACAGGTCACATAAAAGAATCGAGAATCTTAACAAAGAAGTGCATTTTCTTTGCTAAGACTCGCGAATGCACAGTACGATAGATGTAAATATTCACGGTTTAAGAAAGAGAGAAGTCTATTCAAACACATGTTTACTAAATATAACGTTTCAAGTAACGAGAAATATTGTGTGTATATATTTAATAGACCCAACTAACGTTTCTCCCGTTCTTCCCGTGTCCTCGTGTTGATGAAGCTCGCAATCTCCGAGTTGCTGCGGTTGGTGTCTCATGTCACGAGTGCAGCGTGCCTCTTTATTTCATGTATCAGATCGGAAACAGGGTTTTAATGCTCTCGTTACGGCTACATTTATGTGTACGGAAGTTGGAATACTCGAGTCGAATTCAAAATCCTCACTAATTTGGATCCATCTGATCTCCTCTACCCTAGCTCTGTGTTAAATAGAAAGAGAGATAATACCTAGAAAGTGCACTGATTGCTAAATTATCCACAATAGATTTGTATCCAGTTTCTTACAATATTCTGCCTTTCTTGGCAGATCTTCTGTTGTCACAATGTGGGAGACTAAAAAGCAAAGACAATAGGAAAAAAAGAACAAAAAACGTGGGGAAATTGAATTTGATTAGCTCGGCTGTGTCCAAACGCGTCCAATAAAAATTTAAAACTGAATAATTCTAAAACACAAAAAATGTAAAACTCAAACATTTTTTTAAATTTACATTCTGCAATCAGTACATAATTATATCGCCTTCATACTCAAAGAAATATACAAGTCCATCAATAAAAAACATTACATTAGTCTGATGAAGTCCATCTAAAAGACGAAACGCGTTACAAAAGCATGTTCCAACTTTGTCACTCAATGGCCTAAAATTTTAAAAAGTTCACATACGAAACTCTAGATACTGTATATAACATCAGCTAAGTGGCAAATTTTATTTGTATTAATCCTCTGTGTGTGTGTGTGTGTGTGTGTGTACAAATTTTAGATAGAGGATATCTGTAAAAGGATAATATAAATTAAGATCAATTTTTCGAAATTTTTAAGATCGCTCATAATTTTTCATCAGGTTAGCTGTAAAGTTAGGCAATCTATGGAAGACACGAAGTGACAATCCAATGTTTAATAAAAGAAAGTAAGTGATATTCTTCCAATTAATAAAAATATTTATATATTTATGTAGTCTTTCAATTCTTATTTTTCGTGAACTTTTGGAATGTTTCTATTATTTAACTCATTATAGTGCAAAACAAAGTAGCCTATTGTAGTAAGACGATTGTTTGCGCCAATTCTCAAAATGGGAAGAACTTGTCACACAGCTGTGAACATCAGCATTCGAAATCCTTCATTTATTTGGGATCAAACAACGGGAAATATGTCACTGAGTTTTGCCACATTCAGCATTTTGTATTGAATTTGATTGTTTTTGCTTAGAGTCATACCAAACTATATGGACCGTCCTGGGTATGACAATAAACTACATCCGCGTCCAACGGTAAGGCCTCTGATCAGGCGGTTTTGAGGAGCATGGAACCACCTCTTAATTGCTGGAGTTCTCAGGTCCACCCTGACCCGGGGTGGTAACACCCTTTAGGGTCCCAGCTATGGGCAAATAGTTAACCTCAAAACTGGAGTAAAAACAATATGAAAGTGTAAAAATATGTTTTAATACCAGAAGTACTTTTTGGTAAAAAAATTATTACCGGCAATAATTTTTGAAGAAAAAAATATTACCAAAAATAGAATTTTGAAGTAAAATAAATTACCGGCATTAAATAACCCATTGAGGTTGATATGACGTAAAACAAAACTAACTGAACCAAACAATATGGGTTATTATCGAGAACTAAATATTTTCACGCATTTTTTTTTCTTTTTTTAGATAATAATGGTTTTAGTGATACAAGTCTTACCAATTAAGAAGAGGAGGTTCTATGCTTTTCCCAAGGGTATTTGTGTGTAAGTGGCTATAACGAAGCCAACGAGAATTGAAACTCAACTGTCCGATTAACAATTACGTGTCATTATCCATGACACCACCCGCACATCCAAGCTTACGGCACCTGATATTCCCAAGCAGTCACCCATCTAGGTACTGACCAGGCCCGACATTGTTTAACTTCGGTGATCCTACCGGAACCGGTATTTCAACGTGATGTTGCTGTAAACCGCATTTTGTATATGAGTGGCACCTGGAATGGATCAAATTGTAATGGTGTACGAGCTTGCTATCCACAGTTCCGCGCTAATTCTTCTAACTACTTAGTGTATATTGTACATTTTCGTGTAGGAATTTTGATTTTATAGAATGATTCAACAAAAGAAATATACAGTGTTTTATCTTTGCTTGTGTGTAGTATGTGTATGTGTATGTGTTTGCAGTGTGCCTGTGTGTATACTTTGTGTATGTGTAGTGTGTATGTAATGTGTGTCTGTGTACTGTGTATGTGCATGTTTTAATGAGTGTGCGTACTGTGTGTGCGTGTGTAGTGTGCGTGTATTGTGTGTAGTATGTGTGTAATGTATGTGTAGTATGTGCCGTGCGTATGTGTAGTGTTTGTGTGTATAGTGTTTATGTGTGTGTAGTGTGTGCGTTTACTAGTGTGTCTGCACTTGTGTGTATACTGTGTTTGTAGTATGTAGTGTGTGTGCTTATACTGTGTGCGTTTTTGTACTGTGTCTGTAGTGCGTGTGTGTGTAGTGTGTGTGTACTGTGTACGTCTGTGTACTGTATGTGGGTAGTGTGTATGTGTGTAGTGTGTGTGTAGTGTGTTGCTTGCTCGACATTTTATGAGCAACCTGCCAAATGTAAAGTTATCTACTCGATTAAAACATTACAGAAGGTTAATTTACTCTTTCTAATTCGAGCAAAAAGATTTAGCCAACAGGAAATAAAAGAAAAGAAAAACAAAGGAAAGTAAATAGGATTTCTGAACGGCAAACTCAAAATAGAAACACTTATCCCTCGGATCATTAATGTCAACGGGTGTGGGGGTGACATCGGCTGGCAAAAATCGTTGAGGCTCTGAACAAACAAAACGAGGCAATGAGCTAATCTAATCCCAGTTCTGCCTTTCTTTTTACATTCACAATGAATATTAATGAATTTTCGGAGATGCAAAGGAAATTTTATAACTTAGAACCGCGAAAAATATCGGAAAATTTGTTTAAAAAAAATAAACTGAAAATTCCTTTCTTTGCATCTAATTGTTTTTTTGTTCTCTCATGAACTCACTCTCTATCTCTTCATATATATATATATATATATATATATATATATATATATATATATATATATATATATATATATACACAAACATATATATTATCGTCATCCACAGGGAGCCTGTTTCGCTGTATCACAAAAACATAAGTGTGGCTCTGATTTCATTAATGCCAGGATCGAAATCCGAAAAGTTTGGCATCAGTCGGAGATTTTTTCCCTAAGCTATCGGCAGAGGAAGGTGAATTTTACGTATTTATATTTCTATATTTATATATATTCCTATAATTTTTTTATATATATATATATATATATATATATATATATATATATATATATATATATATATATTTTTATGCACTGTTACATTAGAACATGCACATATCCACTACAAAATTGTACATTTTTGTTTCAACGTCAAAAAAAACCTTTTTAAACGTCTCATCAGATGGGTAATCATGATATGCGTGCGTTCGTGTGTGTATGTGAGCACCCCATCTCTTAACTGTATGCCAGCCTAATATGCATTATATAGTGGAAGGTTTTGTTGTTATTATTATTATTATTATTATTATTATTATTGAGATAGATAGGTGAAGAAAGGAAGAAAGTGAAAGAGAGAACAACAGTAGTACACCAACATGTTAACGCTGGATTACAAATATATGGGACCCAATCTACCCATCATGACACCCAATCTAATAAGGGTATACGAAGTATATACATCACAGTCATACGTATGCAATATGGTGACAGGTTTTGATAAAAGCCGCGCATAAATTTGCAGGTCGGTCCCTTCTGAAAAACCTGACGCACTCTACTCAGTCAATCTGCCAATATTTAATATGTCTGCCAAGTCCCCTTTGTTGCCTGAGCCGTCAAACTAATAAACCCAGCCATGATGCTCATTACCACCCATGAACAGTGATACGCAGTGCGTCATCCCCTAAAAGATATACCCAACTTGCTAGAGTCAGTCAACTAACAAGCTAATGTTATTGAACGGGATATTTACGGTAGCCCATCATAATTCATCAAGGCAAAACCGTAGACGGGATCATCGAGTCAATGAAAACAATCCTTTCCTTTGCTACATAGTATTTGTTTCGCCAGGGATACATACAGTTTTGAATTCAGAGTTTTCCTTCTCCTAGATCGGTTGCCACCCAATGCTATAGAACCTACTATTTATCCATAGCTGGGGAGGAGAGAAGAGTTGGATTCATACCTTTCCTAAGGGTATTAGCACGTATATTAATATAATTAGCTCAACTTGATTTCGAACTCGGTTGATGTTAAAACCTTCACTCATCTAAGTTCAGAAGCCAGGAGAGTCTTGCTTGGTGCAGCAACAGAAGATTATAAATTGCAATCATAATAATAGTTCTTTTTTTCTTTTTCTTTTTCTTCTATGTACCATGTCCCTTCAGGACGTTAGCGATCATGGTTCTCCACAATTTCTTGTCCTTTGTAACTCTTAGTAAAGTTTGTCTTTTTGCTATCTCTCCTAAACTCAGTTCTGCCAACACAAAATCCATCAGTAGATTATGCGATTTTCCTTTCTGTGCTTCTTTTCTATAACGTGAGTGTCGTATTTTCGAAGTCGGCTTTTCTCATTATATGACTTAGAAATTTCAACTGCCTCCTTCTGATGTTAAGTACAAGTTTTCTCTTTCCATTTACTCTAAAACTTTGTCGTTGCTCCCCAATTCTAACCGTGACATCCTCAGCATGTATCTATAGAACGACACCTAGGTTGATTATCTATAGAACGACACCTCTCATCTTCATATGCGAGCATGAAGTGAGATTGTCCAGCATTCAATGCTATATAAAAGGGCTGATATTACATAAAAGTTCAGTACACTTTTCTTTGTTTCTAAGTAAAGTTTCCTGTTTCTTAATACTTTACTCAGCTTTTCGAAGGCGTCTTTCGCTATCCCAATGCGAATCCAGCAGTATAACTCGTCGATTAACAAGAAACTTAGTCATAGATGCTTAACTAAATATTCTCGCATCTCGTTCTCTATTGTAACGAGTTGAGCTTTAATATATACTCAAATAATGCGATCTTATGCAATACACAACATAAGATAAGTCAATAACAGTTGACCTGACTTGTGGTCGTGATATTACGTATTTCTCACCGTTGCCTAGGGGCAGGCGTTCAAGCTGAACTTTCAATGACGGGTCATCAGATAATCAGGCCCTCCATATTTGGAGAATTAAAATAATGTAGTTTTCATATCCGTTCAATATACGAAGTTTAACTCAAAGAAAATATTATTCTTATTATTTATTCATGGTGTCAAGACAAATCAGAAATTCCAATAATGAAAGTCTCATGATAAACAATTCACATTTCAAATTTACTATTCGTCCGTGCATTGAATACTGTTGTCATATCTGCTCTGAGACGCTTGCTGCAGATCTTGATATTCTTGCCAAAATCCAAAGAACGATCTGTAATGTAATCGATCCTGAAATCTCGACTTCAGTCACTTTCTCACCAGCGTGACGAGGCTTCCCTCTCTCTTTTCTACAAATATTTTCAAGGCAACTGCTCTGACGAGCTTTCATTCCTGGTGTCACAAATACATGAATTCAAGCATGCTGTTGGATTGGAATTTAGGTCCCAACCATTCACTGTTGAAATAGGTAAATGCAACCGCTACTTCTACTCCAACAGTTTCTTTTCTCGCACTTCCCACCTGTGGAACTGACTTCCCTGATAACTACAATCTTCAAAATTTTAAGTGCAACGTCGGTCACTATCGTCTGTCTTCTTCGTTCGTTTTTTGTCATTTCCACAGTCCTCCCTCTTTCACTCCCTGTAACCCCACCACTGCGTACTAGTAGCATTCCTGCCTTGCTTGGGGTGAAATGATTTTAAAAATACTGTTGCTAGACATATGCTAAATATAGTGAATACAATTTGTGGATCGGCTAATGATCGTTTGTGATTTTCTTTTTTGTGCCGTTTTCCTTCAGGATCTGTGTGATCATGGTTCTCCACAACTTCCTGTAGCTTTGTAATGGAAATAATCGCCGTTTCCTCTAAGGAGAAATTCTGCATTCATTGAGCGAGTAACCTGTTCTACCGTTGGTCGAAACTTATAAACTCTTTCTCTTAAAACAATTTTCGAGGAAAATAGGTTTCTAATGTCCAGTTATTGTTATTGCTCTTTCCAGTACATATGGGTGTTTCCTACCTAACACTTTGTTTGGAGTGGTGTGGAACGTCAATAAACTGATTATATCATTATTTTATCTTCGAGTTACACGTGCTATCAATTTTAGTTCTGGCTGAAAGTTCTCAAATAATATGAATTCTGTTATTTGGTACAGTTCTTTGTCTGCGATAATGTAGCGCCAGTCGACGGAAGATACTTCTCAGTGTATTAACCTTCTTTTTTTTTAATTTTCTTTGTCAATTGTTTTGTATTCTCTGTTTCAGTTTTCTTCCTATTCTGTTTGTTTCTTTCCTGTCTCGTTCTGTTCAACTCAGTACTGTTGTTCCACAGAACAATCTTTTTTTCAGTCTAGGTGTTCTTGGAATGCCATCAGGACGATCATGCAAGGCATCGTTGAAGGTGGACGTAAGAAAAGACGCCAACGCAAAAACAATGTCAAGCAATGGACAAGTATGATTACACCAGAATCGCTGATGGCTGCCACTGATAGACCGTTGTGGAGGACATTCAATAAGGCTTCTGTATTCTGATCCCCACCTAAATTACAAAAGTCGAGGGGACGATATGTGATGAGATGAGTCTAGGAATGCTCTAACGTGCTAATGAAGATATGATAACTTTTAATTCACCTATGCTGTTTCAATCAAGATTTAGAGTTATCAGTTTGAACTTTATTCAGTTTATTACAGAATTCTAAGCTTGCACTTTCATTTTTAAGTGCTTGCATGTTATATCTAGCTGT